AGTGTTCATCATACATTAAAAGAGTCAAACATGAGGAAGTATGTGTCTGTAGGAGAACTTTCTGCCACAGTAACCCTTCACTTTCCATCAAACAATTCACACAGATTAATCACCCTATTAATGCAATGAAATAGAAAATTGTTTTGATACAAGGCAAGCTTCAGCAAATGTCAGCAAAATTACTGTAAAATAATGTAAAATTAATGTAAAAGTAAATTAATGAAAATGTAATGTGTGTGGAAAAACCCTTTGATTTAATCATATCTCAACAGATTTTAGGGAATTCACATGACAGAATAATCCTGCGTGACAGACTGGCTATATGTTCTTCAAAATCTACTTTTGTCTCTTAGACATAAAATCTGTATTTTTTACTTACCTTTATTATGTGTGACTATGTAAATAAGCTGTGCTTTCACAAATTTTATAAACATATTCAATCAACCATCTTCTCCAATACCATCTTCATCAATTCAGAAGTTATTTGATGTGGTGGTTTTGTTGTCTTCCCATTTCTTTCACACATTACTCTAGTACAAACCCATGGTATGGCCACAGGAATGTCATCTGACCTATGTGCCAGTCATTACACTGTCCTCCATCTCTGAATGATGAGCCTTTTGACCCAGACATGGAATTAGTACCTGTTGATCTCTATACTCATGAGATTTCTAGATTTATCTCTGCATTGCTATGGATTTGCTTACACTACTAGAGGTCTTTTTACTGGGTAAAAGAGGGGATGCCTGCAGGTGTTCTGGTGGTCTGAAGTCTAAGCAGTGTTCCTGAGATTGATTCTGTGCAGTATTTATTTTTGCCTTTGTTGGATTATTTGTCTTCCACTCTGCTATGGGTTGCTCTTGTTTATAAATAAATTCTGACTTGATTGTATTAAGAACGGTCTCTTATCAAAGAAAAGTCCAAGATCTGTTGACTTTACAATTAATTTCTATAAAACATTTAAAGAGGAAATAACTCCAATGCTTCTTAAACTTCCAAAATATTGAAAAGGGTAGAACTCTGTCAAACTCATTATATGAGGCTGATATCAAAATCAAAGACCATACACACACAATAAAAAATAACTAGAGATAAATAACTTAATAAATGTAGGTGCAAAAATTCTCAACAAAATACTGGTAAGAAGATCTAACATTTTATCAACAAGATCATAAGTCATGGCCAAGTAGGATTGATCCCAGGGAACAAGGATGATTTACTATCCACTAGTCAATAAGTGTAATAAACCAAATGAACAGAATGAAGAACAAAAATCATACGATGATCTCAATAGATGCACAAAAAGCACTTGTTACAACTCAACATCCCTTCAAGATTAAAAAAAAAAAGCTCCAAACACACTTGGTATTGAAAGAACATAGTTCAAAATTATAAAGGTTATACAACACAAATCAAAAGAAAATGTCACATTGAATGGGGAAAGACTGAAAGCACTTCCCCCAAGATAAGGAACAAGACAATGATTCTGCTTTTGCAATACAGTATTGAAAGTATTAGCAAGATCAATTAGAGAAGAGAAAGCAAAAGAGAGAATCAAAATTATAAAAGAGGAAGCCAAATATCTATGTACACAGAAAACATGAATATAAACATTCCATCAAAAAAAGAGAGAGAGAACTCTTCCAAATTCATTCCACAAGTCCAGCATACCATGGAACCAAAACCAGACACAGGCACAAGAAAAAGATAATTATAATCCAATATTACTGATAAACATAGATACAAAAAAATCTCAACAAAAAAACCAGCAAACCAAGTCCATCAGCAGATCAAAAATACATTATAATCAAATGGAATTTATCCAAGATGCAAGGATTTATTTTATTTTATTTTATTTTTTTGACAGGCAGAGTGGACAGTGAGAGAGAGAGAGACAGAGAGAAAGGTCTTCCTTTTGCCATTGGTTCACCCTCCAATGGCCGCCATGGCCGGCGCGCTACAGCCAGTGCACCACGTTGATCCGAAGGCAGCAGCCAGGTGCTTCTCCTGGTCTCCCATGGGGTGCAGGGCCCAAGCACCTGGGCCATCCTCCACTGCACTCTCTGGCCACAGCAGAGAGCTGGCCTGGAAGAGAGGTAACCGGGACAGAATCCGGCGCCCTGACCGGGACTAGAACCCGGTGTGCCAGCGCCACAAGGCGGAGGGTTAGCCTAGTGAGCCCCAGCACCAGCAGGAAGTTTCAACATATGCAAATAATTAAGTGTAATATACCACATAAGTAGAATGAAGGACAGAAATCATATGATTATCTAAATAAATGTAGAAAAATAGTTGATAAAATTATAGATCTCTTAGAGATTAAAATTCTCAAATCATTAGGTATAGAAAAGCTGCAAATGTTTTCTCTAAAATCTAGAGCAAGTCAAGGATATCCTCTTTCCCACTATTATTCAATATGATAATGGAACTCATAGAGAAATCAGACAACAAAAATAAAGACATCCAAAACAAGAAATCAAATTACCCCTCTGAGTAGAAAATAGTTTGATGTTTTAAAAATTTTTAATATAAAATATTTTAACATTTTAAATATAAAAACCTGATGATTGTTAGATTGTTAGAATGCAAAAACAAATCCAATAAAGGACATGAACAAAAAGTATATGAAAAAATAGTGACATTTTACACCAATAATAACATACTGATAAGATCAAGAAAGTAATTCTATTTACCACTGCTACAAAGATAATAAAATATCTATGAAGTGAATAACCTCTACAATGATATTTGAGAAACACTGATGAAAAAAACTTGAAGACACAAAACAATGGAAATACTTCTCATGTTCATTAACTGTAAGAACTAATATTGTTAAAATATCCATACTGGGGCCGGCGCCATGGCTCTCTTGGTTAATCCTCTGCCTGCGGCGCTGGCATCCCAAATGGGCTCCAGGTTCTAGTCCCGGTTGCTCCTCTTCCAGTACAGCTCTCTGCTGTGGCCCGGGAAGGCAGTGGAGGATGGCCCAAGTGCTTGGGCCCCTGCACCCCATGGGAGACCAGGAGAAGCACCTGGCTCCTGGCTTCAGACAGGCATAGCTCCGGCCGTAGTGGCCATTTTGGGGGTGAACCAATGAAAGGAAGACCTTTCTTTCTGTCTCTCTCACACAGTCTAACTCTATCTGTCAAATAAAAAAATTTTTTTTTAAATATCCATACTGCTGGCACCGCAGCTCACTAGGCTAATCCTCCACCTTGTGGCGCTGGCACACGGGGTTCTAGTCCCGGTCAGGGCGCCAGATTCTGTCCCGGTTGCCCCTCTTCCAGGCCAGCTCTCTGCTGTGGCCAGAGAGTGCAGTGGAGGATGGCCCAAGTGCTTGGGCCCTGCACCCCATGGGAGACCAGGATAAGTACCTGGCTCCTGCCATCAGATCAGCGCGGTGCGCTGGCCGCAGAGTGCCGGCCACGGCAGCCATTGGAGGGTGAACCAGCAGCAAAAAGGAAGACCTTTCTCTCTGTCTCTCTCTCTCACTGTCCACTCTGCCTGTCAAGAAAAAAAAAATCCATACTACCCAAAGCAATCTACAGGTTCAAATACTCATCAAAATACCAATGCATTATTCACAGGGAAGGTGAACCAACGGCAAAAAGGAAAACCTTTCTCTCTGTCTCTCTCTCTCATTATCCACTCTGCCTGTCAAAAAAAAAAAAAAAAAAGCCTAAAATTCATAGAACTAAAAAAGATTCTGGCTATCCAAAGCTATATTGAGTGAAAAGGCAAAGCTGGAGTTATCACAAAATCTGAAGACATACAACATGCTTATAACAAGACAACAAAATGCTGGCATAAAAATAAATGCAAAAACAATAGAGAATAGAGAATCCATACATAAGTCACATTCACAGATAACTTGTCTTTTGAAAGGTGCCTACAGTAAATGTTCTGGGAAAACTATATTCATGTGTAGAAAAATGAAATTAAACCCTATATCTTACTATATTTTTAAAAAGTTGTATTCAAAATGGATCAAAGACCTAAAGGTAATACCTCAAAAGCTTTAAAACCACTAAAAGAAAACATACAACACTTAAAGACAATTGTTTTAGGCAATGATATTTTGGATAATACCTCAAAGTCTCAAGCAACAAACAAAAAACAAATGGGATATTAAAACTAAGAAGCCTCCGTACAGCAAAGAAAACAATCAAAAGGATGAAGAGGCAACCTCAGAATGGGAGAAAATATTTGTAAACTATTCATCTAACTAGTCATATATATGTATATATAACTGCTTCTTGGCCTTTTGGCTAAGATCAAGTGTAGTATATGTATATTTATAGCATATATATTATAGTTTATGCATATATATAGTATTTGTATATATTATATGGTATACATGTATATTATATAGTGTATTTATATAAATAAAATATATATAGTGTGTATATATTATATAGTGTGTGCCTAATAATGTATATAATAAGCTAAATATGCATATATAATGAACCAAAAAACTATGTACATATACAATACATATAGTATATGTATATATAATATATATGATACTGGTGGATGTATATACATAATATGAATATAGAATATGTCTACATAGTGTATATATAAAATATATAGTATATGTATATATAAATATATTGTGCATGTATACATTATATATAGTGTATGCATATATAGTGTATGTATATAATATAGTGTATGTATACATATATGTATACTATATATATATAACACATAATGAATTAAATATGTACATATTATGACCAAAAAAACTATAGTGTATGTATACAATACATATAATATGTATAGTGTATGTGTATATGATAAATGTAGTATATATGTATAATATATAGCATATGTATGTACAGTGTATGTATATTACATGTATACACATAATGTATGTATACTGATAAACACATAACATATAATGAATTAAATATGTATATATAACGAACTAAAGAAACTTAACAACAAAAAAATCGCATTTTAAAATTAGCAAGTGATCTAAATGGACATTTCTCAAAAGAAAATGCAAAAGTAGCCAATGACTATATGAAAAATTGTCCAGCATCATTAGTCATCAGGGAAATGCAAATAAAAACCACAATGAGACATCATCTCATACCAGTTAGAATTGCTATAACCAACAAAATAAAAATGAAACATGTTGGTAAGAAAGTAGAAACAAGGGAGCTCTTAAATACACCTTGTTGGTTTGAACACAAGTTAGTAAAGCCATTATGAAGATCAGCATGGAGGTTCGCTATAGGTCCTCCTCCATGACCCATAATAGAAGTGATTCTACTTTCCCTGAAAACCCTCAGTGTCATGTGTGGTGTAAATACCATCCATTAAACTGCAAACTTCTTTTGAGGAAAAGAACTTTATTCATTATTTTGCCTAGCCAATGAATAATAATCACAAAACATTTGACCTTCATGGAATTAATTATGGTTCTAAAAATTATAAATTATATAGAGTGATAGTCATCCAGTACACAACAATGTGTTCACATCAGTTTTGAACTTTGAAATATTTCTCTACCAATGCTCCTTATCACCCAAATGACTCCCACAACTGGTACTTTCCTCCATAGGAGCACCTGGACTCCCACAACCTTCCAACTGAAGGGCTAATGCCTTGATTCAACCATGTGTCCCGAGTCCACTGGTGAAAGTATCCATTATGACTAATCAAAACCTATGTAGTCTTGTTGTTAACTATTTTGATAATTGCATTAGTCCATTTTTTTCTATTGCTATAACAAAATAGCTAAGGCTGGGTACTTTACAAAGTATTTAATTATTTGGTTCACAATTTTGGTGGCTGGAGGGTCCCAACCAGCATAAGCATCCTGGCAAGGAATCTCTGGCTGCACCAGAACACTGCGGTAGCACAGAAAGGAACCATCAGACACTGCAGTAGAACAGAAGGGAACCATCAGTGCCCAGGACAAGGAGACCACATGGAGCTAATTACCTCTCACTGGGCCCCACCTCTTAAAGAGCCCACCAACTCAACAGTGCCACACTGAACACCAAGCCTCCAGCACAAGAACCTTGGGGAGACACATCACATCCAAAGCACAGTAATAATCACCCCTGGTTATAAATAAGATACAATTATATAGTGTGAAAATGATGCTTCTTTTCATTGTACAATCTCTTTGGCAGCAGTGTCAGGGATAGAAAAAGGAAATGATGTTTTTTCGGTCTCTGAAAGTTTAGGGTACATTCATTAGCACTCAATCTTCATGTAAACCAGAAGATAGGCAGTTTCACGCCTAGAAAGAAGAGAAAGAAGCATCAACGTAGTAAAATGAAACATCCGCCCACAGTGAAATGGCACATTATTAATCCATGAACAGATGAGTGTCGGCAAACATTCCATTGTTGTGTAAGATCTTCATCCATCCTTCACTATCTATCCATCATCTCAGAGGGGGAAAAAATAGTGGCCTGGGAAAATAGCCTCTAAGTTGTTATTAGTTAACATCTATATTGGGATTTGATGAATGATGGGCCCATGAGCCAAGTCCAACCCCGTCTTGCAAGTAAATTTAACTGGAACACAGCCATTCCCATTTTTCATGTACTAACCACAGCTGCTTTGGGTACAAGGGCAGAGAGCTGAGTCATTTCAACAGACATATAATAATAAAAATGTAATACTAATATATAATAATATTATATATTATATTATAATGATATATATTATATATAATAATGTAGTAACAATTATAATAACATGTAATAACAGACATATAAATATAACAATGCCTAAAATATTTTCACTCTGGCCCTTTACAAAGCTTTCCAATCTGTGATCAAAATCATGGGAATATGAACAATAACTAATAATTGAGAAATATTGGGCATTTAAGAGAGAAGTTTAGAAGAAACAGAAGAGAAAGGTGAAAAGCAGAAGGTTTGAAGTGGATTTCACACTTCAGTTTCACCTAACTCACTATTTTTCTCACATTTTTCAAATGATCATACCCACCTCTTCAGCTAAGAATTGTTTCAAATATCATTTGTGGCATACATGTCACTCCTAAGGCAAAAACTCAGCTGAAAAGCTAACAGAATCTCTCTGTTGTAACTTACCCAGCTTTTTTCTATCCAGTTTCCACTCTAATTAGAGATTTTTAAAAGGATTTATTAAAATGATTTCCCCCACCCCTAGCTCATGATCTAATCTGAAAGAAAGCTATATTAGCAAATAATTAAACACAGAGTGAATCTTGCTGTAACAGACGCATGATGAAAATGCAGTGGCTGTATCCAAGAAGCCCTACAGAGCTGCTGCTTGGGTGAATCCACAAAGGCTCCCTAGAGCAGGAAAAGGTCTTGAGTACCAAAACGTAAGTGGCACTTTGCTGCATGGTAAATTAGGAGAGGGCCACACAGGCCAGAAACTGAATACAAAGATTCAAAAAGGCAGATGGAGTACATGGTGTTTCATAAGTTACTTTCTTTTTTACAAATTTTTTTTTTGACAGGCAGAGTGCACAGTGAGAGAGAGAGACAGAGAGAAAGGTATTCCTTTACCGTTGGTTCACCCTCCAATGGCTGCTGCGGCCGGCGTGCTGCGGCCGGCACACCACACTGATCCGAAGCCAGGAGCCAGGTGCTTCTCCTGGTCTTCCATGCGGGTGCAGGGCCCAAGGACCTGGGCCATCCTCCACTGCACTCTCTGGCCACAGCAGAGAGCTGGACTGGAAGAGCGGCAACCGGGACAGAATCCGGCGCCCCACCAGGACTAGAACCCGGTGTGCCAGCGCCACAGGCAGAGGATTAGCTTATTGAGCTTTGGCACCAGCCTTCTTTTTGACAATTTTTTAAAGATGTATTTATTTATTTGAAGAGCAGAATTTGAGAGAGACAGAGAAAGAGAGAGAGAGAGAGAAATCTTCCTTCTACTGATTCACTCCCCAAATGGCCACAACAGCGGGAGCTGGGCGGATCCAAAGCCAGGAGCCAGGAGCTTCTTCTGGGTCTCCTATGTGGATAGCAGGGACCAGGGATCATCCTCAACTGCTTTCCAAGGCCATTAGCATGGAGCTGGGTTGGAAGCAGAGCAGCTGGGACTTGAACAAGCGCCCATATGGGATGCCAGCATGGCAGGTAGAGGCTTTACCACTACGCCATGGTGCCGGCCCCAGGTTACGTCTTTTTTTTTTTTTTTTTTTTCTCATTAAACTTTGTTTTAATGGGTCTCAAAATTCTGTGACAGATTTTTGGTCAAGTTGTTTCCATTAAAAAGTACTGATTTTAAAAACTAATAACTTAAAACTGCCACGCACAAAAAAAAAAATGGTCCACAAAACATTCTCCTTTCCTTCTGAAGGTTTTGCGATGCATTGTTATCATTAACCAGTCTTTTACTATTAAACTTAAATGGCCAATTGGGACAAACAGTTCTGAGACTGTTCTTCCACCACTGATTAAGACTGGGGTGGCAGGTATTAGGGATAATATTCATTTAGCCTTCTGAGCTTTCTGGGCAGACTTGGTGACCTTGCCAGCTCCAGCAGCCTTCTTGTCCACTGCTTTGATCACACCCACAGCAACCGTCTGTCTCATATCACGGTCAGCGAAACGACCCAGAGGAGGATAGTCAGAGAAGCTCTCAACACACATGGGCTTGCTGGGAACCATATCAACAATGGCAGCATCACCAGATTTCAAGAATTTAGGGCCATCTTCCAACTTCTTTCCAGAACGACGATCAATTTTTTCCTTCAGCTCAGCCCAGGTTACTTCTATTTTAGCACTGCTGGAGTCTAAACTGTGAGAAAAGTGTGATGGAGTGGGAGGGTGTTGGCCAGGCTCAGCAGTCACCAGGGAGTCAACAGCAAGGAAATTCCAAGAACCCTGTGTAAGTTCACATTTTTATCACTCCAACACCCCTCTTACCAGCGGTCATTATGATTTCCAAAGGTGCACTGAATGTCTTCCCAGGACACCTGAAGTATATAAAGAGAGTGGAATCAAGCATCGCCCTGAATACATGGAACTATATTCTCCATCTTTTTCTCCTCTAGATAAACCCACCCTCAGTAACTCCCAACCCTGGAGCATCTGGCCATGTAATGTCACATACACTGAAGCATTTTTAATATCTTTATCCCTTTGTTTAAACATAATTATGCTTGGGACAGGCATTTGGCCTACCAGTTAAGATGTTGCTTTGGATACCTATGTCCCATGCTGAGGTGCCAACTCTAGCTCCTGACTGAAGATTCCTGCTAATGTACAAATGTACACACTGGTGACGGCTCCAATAAATGAGTTCCTGCTACCGAGAGAATTTTTTTCTAGTGTTTGCTTATTTACTGATTTATCTGAAAGGCGGAGTGACACAGAGAGAAACTGACAGAGATATTTCATCCACTATATCAGTCCTCAAAACCCCACATTATCTGTGGCTGGGCAAGGCCAAAGTCAGGAGCCTAGAAGTACATCAAGGGCTCCCACATAGGTGAGAGGGACCCAGGTACTTCAGCCATCACATGCTGTCTCCCAGGAAGCTGGATCAGAGCAGAGTAGCTGGGGTTCGACAGGCACTATGATAAGGGATGTATGCACCCTAAGTTGTAGCTTAACACAATGTGCCAAAATGCCAACCCCACAACCTGGACTGAGTTCCCAACTCTCAGCTGTGGCTCAGACACAGTCATTACAGGCATCTGAGATGTAAACAAGCAGATGGGAGCTCTCTCCTTCAGTCTATCTCTCTACCTTTCTAATAAATAAAAAATATAACTAAAATAGAGAGATGTCGCTCCCCGTCTTCGTGGAGGAACGACACAGGACCCTGCGCTGTTCTTTCGTCTGCTCGGCCCTCCCCGGGTTTGCTGCTGGTTCTTCCCGGGTTGGCTACCGACCCTTCCACCTCCGTGGAAGGGCGGTTCCCCCTGCCACATTCCCCACTTCCGCGGGGGAGCGGCACACCGCCGGCCGGCTCTCTCGGGGGCTGCACAGGTGTTCCTTCAGATGTTCCCCTTAGATGTTCCTCGTGCATGTTGTCTCTCTCCTCCTTTATAGTCCTTCCACCAATCCCAACTCTGCTACCCACACGCCGAGTACGCTGCTCTCCTCCAATCAGGAGCAGGTCCTACAGTTTATTGGTTGAACTGGAGGCAGCTGCGTAGAAGCTGTTTCTCCCTTCTCAGCGCCATATTGTGGGAGAGCAGATGCATAGAATAAGTCCTAATTCCAGTAACTTAGTCTAGTCCGGGTTGCTCCCCACAGAGAGAGAGATCTTCCACCTGCTGGTTCACTCTCCAAATGGCTACAACAGCTGGGTTGGGCCAGGCTGAAGCCAGGAGCCAGGAACTACATATGGGTCTCTCACATAGGTAGCAGGAACTCAAGTACAAGAGACACCATCCACTGCTTCCCCAAGAGCATTGGCATGGAGTTGGACCAGAAGTAGAGGGCCAGGACTTGAACAAGCACTCCAACTTGGGCTGGTGTGTTGCAAGCTGTGGCTTAACAATCTGCACCTATCCCAGAGTTTTGACTTACATATTTCTAACTATTCTTTTTTTTTTTTTTTTTTTTGACAGGCAGAGTGGACAGTGAGAGAGAGAGACAGAGAGAGAAAGGTCTTCCTTTGCCGTTGGTTCACCCTCCAATGGCCGCCGCTGCAGCCGGCGCACCGCGCTGATCCTGGCAGGAGCCAGGAGCCAGGTGCTTTTCCTGGTCTCCCATGGGGTGCAGGGCCCAAGCACCTGGGCCATCCTCCACTGCACTCCCTGGCCATAGCAGAGAGCTGGCCTGGAAGAGGGGCAACCGGGACAGAATCCGGCGCCCCAACCGGGACTAGAACCCGGTGTGCCGGCGCCGCAAGGTGGAGGATTAGCCTATTGAGCCACGGCGCCGGCTTAACTATTCTTTCTTTACAGAAGTTTCCCAGGACACAGAGCCCATGGTACCAAAAACGTAGACATCAAGGTTTGAAGACACTCACAGAGCTGTCAACCAGATGGGGCTCTCATGAATAAAAGGGCTCCAACCCAATCAAAAGCCCCACACACAGAGAACAGGACCACAAGTTTGTCTTGATCTGGAGGATTCTTGCAGTCCTAGGCTGAGGATTTGTTATGTATAACTAAGCCAAGTAAAGATACAATTTTAGATAACTGTTCTCACCCAACAAACATTGGAGTCATTGAAGCAGAACCATTTTCCATCCACAGAATTCCGGATATAGGCACAGTAGTGACCAAAGTCAGCCATTCCCATGTGAGCGATCACAGCAAAGAGTTCGTACTGTCCTCCAGACTGGAAAGAGAGAAGACATGGAATGATTAACCTATCGCTGTCCTAGTCACCTGTCACCTACTCTCTGCCAGGCACTGCTCCTTCAAAGGAGCCAAAACACAGTCCTCAGGAATCTCACAGCTAATTGAAGAACAATGTATAAACCACAATTAGAATAGTGTGTTTTGCACCAAATGTCTGTAGAGGTAATTAGAGAAGTCCAAATTTTTGTCCAGAATAGGAAAGGACCATGAGTTAAGAAAGGGCTGAAGGGCTGGTGAGATCTCAACAGAGAAGACACAGTTGGACTGATCTAGGATAAATAACATTGGCAGACAGGTTATGGGAACAAGGTGTCATAAACTAGGGCACCACAATAGCTCAAGGAAGAAACAGTACTAACCAGAAAAATTACTATCAGTAGTAGTCATTAAAAATAACAATCATTGTTAAAATAATAATCATTAAAATAATAATGATTTCCTAACATTTAGCATTTAGTATGTATTTGACCAAGTTTTAACATGAATCATTTCAGTTAATACAACCTCCCTGCATGAGGTTTTACAGAGATGGAACCTGAGCTCAAGGAGATTAGGTAATTTACTCAAGGTCAAAACTTATAAATGTGGGGCCAGCACTATGGTGCAGTGGGTTAAAGCCATCACCAGTGCCAGCATCCCATCTGGACGTCAGTTCAAGTCCCAGCTGCTCCACTTCTGATCCACCTTTCTGCTATGATCTGGGAAAGCAGTCAAAGATGGTCCAAATCCCTGGGTCCCTGCACTCTCATGGCAGACTTGGAAGAAGTTCCTGCCTCCTAGTCTCAGATCAGCTCAACTCTGGCTGTTACGGTCATCTGGGGAGTGAACCAGTGGATAGAAGACTTCTCTCTCTGGCTCTACCTCTCTCTGTAACTCTGTCTTTCAAATAAATTAAAATAAATATTTAGAAAAAAAAACTTATAAATAGGAGCCTGCATTGTGGCACAGTGGGTAAAGCCACTTCCTGCAACACTAGCAGCCCATATGAGCACTGGTTCTTGTCCCAGCTGCTCCACTTCCAATCCAGCTCCCTGATAATGTGCCTTGGAAAAACAATAGAAGATGGCCCAAGTCTATGAGCTCCTGCCACCCAAGTGGGAAACCCAAATGAAGCTCCTGGCTTCAGCCTGGCCCAGCCCTGGTCATTGCAGCCATCTGGGGAGTGAACCAGCAGGTGGAAGATCACTGTCTCTCCATTTCTCTCTGTAACTCTAACTTTCAAATAAATAAATCTTTTCTTAAAAAATCAAAAACAAAATTTACAAATAAAAAGAGACCAGATTTCGGGGCTGGCATTGTGGTGTAGTAGGTTAAGCCTCTGCCTGCAGTCCAGCATCCCATATGTCCGCCAGTTAGAATCCCAGCCACTCTATTTCTGATCTAGCTCTCTGCTGTGGCCTGGGAAAGCAGTAGAAGATGGCCCAAGTCCTTGGGACTCTGCACCCAAATGGGAGACCAAGATAAAACTCCTGCTCTTGGCTTCACCTGGCCCAGCCCTGCTGGCCACTGCAGCCATTTGGGGAGTGAACCAGTGGATGGAAGATACACCTCTCTCTCTCTATTTCTCTCTCTCTCTCTAACTCTTTCAAATAAATAAATAAATCCTTTAATAAAAGCAAATATATAACAGAGCCATATGAAAATAAAGATAATGAATTTAGGGACTGTGCTATTTATATAAGAACATTCAATGATTAATGGTGCATTAAGTCTGTGATTATAAAGTAAACTGAATGCATGGTCGTGCAAAAGTTAAAGGGAAACAAAAGGGAAAAAAAGTTAAAAGGAGGTGAAAAGACATGTGTGGAGCTCAAGGGAAAAAAAAAACAGAATGTATAGACTTAGAAATCTTCAGTTTAAGGTGATCACTGAAATCATGAGAATTAGTGAGATGACATTCAAAAACCGAGAAGGAATAGAACTAAAACTAAATATCAATGAAACCATGGGAAAAAGAGGAACTATCAACAGATAAAGAAACACTAAGAGAGAAACCTTGAGTGAACAGAATTTTAAGGACAGCAGTCAATAACATTATCACAAAGAGATCAAGTAAGAAGATCAAAAAATATCCGTTAGATTTGACAATAAATTATAGTACCTCAAAATATCTTAGAAAATCAAGGTAAGAGATAATTCTCTATTAAAAAGGAAATAATGAAATGAGTGCGGCGACCCCAGCTCCCCTGTGAACACGGCGCTGCAGGTGGTGTGGAGCACACAGGCGATGGCCGCGGAGCCCTGCTTGCCTCTGCCGGGACACCGCACTCGGGGCCCCGCTCTGCTCCTGATGTGTAAACTCAACTGCGAAACATGAATGGGTAACAACAGAAAATGGCGTTGGAGCAGCAGGAACTAGCAATCTTACACAAGAAGCTTTGGAAGATGCTGTTTATTGTAGTCTGCCTGATGTTGGAACAAAATTCAAGAAACAAGGAAGGTAGTCTCATATGAGGTACATCATCATTACTAGAATCTTAAATTGTGTCTTTTCTGAGCCACAATGTGTTTGGCACTTTGGAAAGTGTGAAAGCTGCTAATGAACTTGGCTTGCCTCTTCCAGGAGAAGCAAATGAAATTAAACAAGCCTTGCAGAAACCCACGACTCGTAAACAAACCTTGTTGTGAAGATGGTTGGTTGATCAAGAGGACACTGAGCAACCCTTCAGAAGCAGATGAACTAACTAGTGAAGAAGCCTATAGAGATGCATAAAATCTACTGAGGAATGCAAGTGGAACACTTACATGAACTAGCACAGAGTATCTTTCTCCAGCACAGGTATCTTATTAGTGGCAGACAGAGGATTTAAAATAGCAACTATTAACAATATTGATGGGAAGAGATACTACTTTCAGCTCTGCTACTGGAAGAAAATAGCCCTAATTTGTAATGGTTGCAGGTGAACACAATATGCATCTTTTTCACAGTACCTTGTGATTTTTATACTAGGCTCTTAGGCACTAGTATTCAGAATGCATGAAATTAACTGTGGTAAAAACTAGTTATACAAATAATGAAATTCAAGGATAACATTGTTATCTTAAGCCTTACGTAATATTGTAACTTGCTTATACCCATCCCTGGATTGGGGTCAAAATATGTAATGATCTTTCCATCGAAAGTAACTGGGAATGGAGAACAGTTTTTGTTAGTTGTACGCTGCCAGAGAAAGAACAACACTATCTTAATTTTGTAATATATTGCATTTGCTGGTGCTATTTTATACAGTGAAGCAGCAACTCTGCAGCAAAATAAGAAATATAATAATATTTTCAGCTTCCTCATTAATAAAAAAAGGAAATAAATTACCGGAGATACTGAGTTTTGAATGACTGTGAGCAGGATCTCCAGATTAACTGAAAACACTATTCTCTCTAATATGTAAATAACATTTTTTTTTAATTTTTTAAAAGCTGAACTCATAGAAGGAGAGAGCAGAATGGTGGTTGCAGGGGAACATATTGGGACATGTTGGCCAAAGGGTACAAAATGTCAAGAGGAATAAGTTCTGGAGATCTACTCTACGACACAGTAACTATAGTTAATGACAATAGATTACACACCTGAAAACTGCTTCAAAAATCTGTATTTTAAATTTTCTCACCATAAAACATACACGTGTTGAAATATTGCATTGTACTCTATTAAAATGTACAAGTATTACATGTTAATCAAAAAGTTTAAATTTTTTTAAAAGATAAGTATTTGAGGTGATGGATATGTTAACTGGCTTGAAGTAATCATCCCACAATGTATGTATGTGTACATATATATCTCAAAATATCACATTGCTCATCATAAATATACGCAATCTTGTCGGTTTTTAATTAACTAATTGAATTTTCATAAAAAGATTTTTTAAAAAAGAACATTCACTCTGGTTTCTCCACATGATTAAATGGTGTCTCTAAACTGAACAGACTGGAAACATTGCATGGACAAGACAGAGGGCAGTGGCTGGCGCCACGGCTCACTAGGATAATCCTCCACCTAGCGGCGCCAGCACACCCGGTTCTAGTCCCAGTTGGGGCACCAGATTCTGTCCCGGTTGCCCCTCTACCAGGCCAGCTCTCTGCTGTGGCCCAGGAAGGCAGTGGAGGATGGCCCAAGTGCTTGGGCCCTGCACCCCATGGGAGACCAGGAGAAGCACCTGGCTCCTGGCTTCGGATCAGCACGGTGCGCCGGCCACAGCGCGCCAGCCGTGGCGGCCATTGGAGGGTGAACCAACGGCAAAAGGAAGACCTTTCTCGCTGTCTCTCTCTCTCTCACTATCCACTCTACCTGCCAAAAAAAAAAAAGACAGAGGGTAGTGCAAGGGAAGCTAAGGACACAGAACAAAAGATGCAGATTATTCTTTCATTTGAGAATTTTGTGCTGGACTTAAAAAAAAAAAGAGAGACACTAACTGAACAAAACTATCAGTTTCCAAAAAATAAAAACATTACAGGAATGTGTTAGATGATACCAACCGGCAATTCTGGAATATTAAAAAGAAAAACTTCTCAACCAAATGAGTCGCAAGAAAAAGAAAAAGTTAACCAAAAAACAGGAACACTTCACCAAATCCTAGTGTAGACCATGTTATGATCCAGATTCACACAAGCCACACAATTTGTAGAACAGTCAGGGAATCTGACAGGATATTTGAAAATGTTAAGGAATTATGAAATGGAGTTGGTTATGTTTATTAAAATCCTTATTCTTTAGATGGACACGGAATATTTATAAATCAAACAGTATGATTTCTGAGATTTGCTTCAAAACAGCCCAATAGATGAAGGAGTGGGGAACCACACAAAATCATCACCTTAAAACTTGATCTGCTATAGATTTATTGAATTGCCGTATATGCAAAGAGAATACAAAATTTTCTAAATGTAGCACATCGAAATTCTAGAGAAGATATTTACGTCATTGTTTTTCTCAGAAATCTTCCAATAAATTATTATCTCTTTTTTGTTTTTTTGTTTTTTGTTTTTTGTTTTTGACAGGCAGAGTTAGACAGTGAGAGAGAGACAGAAAGGCCTTCCTTTTCCGTTGGTTCACCCCCCAAATGGCCGCTACAGCTGGCGCGCTGCACCAATCCGAAGCCAGGAGACAGGTTTTCCTCCCAGTCCCCCATGCGGGTGCAGGGCCCAAGCACTTGGGCCATCCTCCACTGCCTTCCTGGACCATAGCAGAGAGCTGGACTGGAAGAGGAGCAACCGGGACAGAATCCGGTGCCCCAACCTGGACTGGAACCTGGGGTGCCAGCGCCGCAGGCAGAGGATTAGTCAAGTGAGCCGCAGCACCGGCCAATAAATTATTATCTCAAGACAACTGAATTTGACTTTACTCTGATTAAATTTAGACCTATCAACTGGCTACTCTATTATTTTCAAACGGGGCATCCACTGTTTTAATAAGAACATTTGGCTGGTACTATACTTGGAACCCAAAATGTCACATTTCTGCAAGTATTTGTTTGTATTCTACATGTTATTTCCAAAGCAAAGTACTGAACTGTGAATGTCTTCCCTCAGGACTGTGAGGTATACAAGTCATATGAGAACAAGTCCGACATTTAGAAAACCTTAGAAGCAACTACAAACTGCAAAACCTTGTTGTCCTATCCTTTTACACATAGGTTTCCATCATCAAAATATTGTTGAAAAGTAAATATTTATCTTTTTAATAAACTTTTTATTGCAGAATAATTTTAAATTTACAAAACAAAAATTGTGAAGTAGTAGTTTCCCCTAGACCCTTCACCCAGCTTCCCCTATTCTTAACATCTCATATTAGTACATGAGTTTAAAAAAATTCAGTGTGAACACAGGATGATGACTACTAGAGGGCTGGAGGGGTGGGAAGGATAAAGGGAATTTGAATAAAAGATAAATAGGAGAAGCTGCGTGTGGTTCATTAACGGCGACAATAAGTGTTTCTTGCATGAAATCACATCAAGCTGGTTTTTTTCTGTCCCCTTGTGTATCCCAAGCATGGCCAGCAGGGGGCATGATTTCTTAGAAGAGAGGCTAACAGAGGATGCAGACCTCAGTCACTGGGCTGTAACTTTTTTCTCTAGATAGACAGTGTTTGTCCAGCATGCTGCTGCTTAACTCTACCCCACAGTCTGGAACCCATTAAGGGCCAACTCACTGATCTGGACTGGGAAAGAACTTGTAAGTGGAGAAGGTATGAGTGGGTGGCTTACAGCAGCTTAGGAGAATAGGAACCGTGGCACCTGCTGAGATGCAGGATGAGAGGGAGGTGAGCATCTCACCTGTTCCTCAGCATTGCTGAGGGCCTGCTCACTCGGAAGGACTTGATTGACATCCAAGCTCTGGGGGAAATACAGGGAGTGGCAGACCTTTTGTGTCCGTGAATTGCTGACGGAGAATCGCTTGAGGTGGATCGTCAAGGTCAAGGGCAAATGGGTCAGCTTCAAGGCCTGAGAAAGCAAAATCAAGGCAGAAATGAAGCTCTCTGACACTTGCAAGGAGTAGAAGCAGGGTTGGTGGCATGTTTTTCTTCCCAAAGAGGTGGCAGGGTTAAATCCTGGAATTCACTGCCTCTGTCATACTCCTCCATGAATAACTTGGCCTAGGACACTTGCCTACTGCACCACTGTGCATCTCCCATTGGCACCTGAACCCAGCAGAACTATGACATCTTCTCCAGGGAGCTGGTTTTTTTCCTCCTCTGCCTACTGCTCTTGGACCTTCTCCTCTTCTCCTTAGAGGCTCTGTCCCTCTCAATGATGTGTATACCGCCCTGGGACTCAGAAGCCCTGGGATCCCAGGCACTAGCCTGACCCTGTCTCCCTCCATCCTGCAAAGACTGCATTGGGAAATCCTGCATGGGCAACCTCAGACCAGGGAAGTGTCATCTCTTAGGGAGTGAGCACCTGCTTTCCGTAGGTCTTCTTTCCACAGTTCTGACAGAAACACTTGCTTTTTCTTGATAACTCCGTGGGCTGCAAGAAACAGCGCAGCGCATCCTCCTGCCCCACCCAGAACAAGGACAAAGCAGGTTGATTAGTTCCCACCTAGAGTACAGCCTCCCCACCCTGCTGCTGGGGGGTTCCAAGCAAGCTCACTCCATGCCCCCCACTTTAATGTCAGGCCCACTGTGTTACACTTGGTGGGTCTTAGAAACTGCTTCCTGCAGAGGGAACAAAACAGGAGAGACACCTGTTAAGGGAGCAGCAGAAGAAAGAAGAAAGAAGAGTAAAAAAAATAAAAAATACTTTTTGCCAAATCAAAGCATAAATTGACCAGAGCTTCACAGATGAAATGCAAAGTGACATTTAAAAGCCAAGGGCAGCTAAAAGAAGCAAGGGGGAATGGCAACATTAGGTTCTGTGGGAACAGTGAATCCGCCAAGAGAAACCTCTTACCAGTGTTCTCAGAGGCTTTAAATCCATATCAAAAAGACTAAGAGGGAGGGTCAGCAAGCTACTGTCTCTACTTGTCTCCTTGGTACAGTCCAGGCAAATCAGGAACTCCTTTACCCCAATTGTATACAGGGCCTGCAGCCTCTCTACCTGCATGAGAGATGAGGGGAGACATAACATTAAAAAGCCATTAACAGCCGGCGCTGTGGCTCACTTGGTTAATCCTCCGCCTGCGGCACCAGCATCCCACATGAGCGCCGGGTTCTAGTCCCAGTTGCTCCTCTTCAAGTCCAGCTCTCTGCTGTGGCCCGGGAAGGCAGTGGAGGATGGCCCAAGTGCTTCGGCCCTGCACGCGCATGGGAGACCAGGAGGAAGCACCTGTCTCCTGGCTTCGGATTGGCCCAGCACGCCAACCGTGGCGGCCATTTGGGGGGCGGGGGGGTGAACCAACAGAAAAGGAAGACTATTCTCTCTGTCTCTCTCTCTCTCACACTGTCTGACTCTGCCTGTCAAAAAAGAAAAAAAAAAAAAAGCCATTAACCAGCCCAGGCCAATTTCCAGAGATTGGAGCCACCAGCTGAGAGCTCCAGAAATGGGAGCCACTCTATGTCTTATTGTGAAAGTGAAAGGTAGTAACAGTAATTACATGATGGAATGGCAATAAGCATTTTATGTGGATTAACTTTCATTCCTGGGATCAGCACCGTGGCTCAGTGGGTTAATCCTCTGCCTGCGGTGCAAGCATCCTAAATGGGCGCCTGTTCTAGTCCCAGCTGCTCCTCTTCTGCTCCAGTTCTGCTATGGCCTGGGAAAGCAATAGAAGATGTCCTAAATGCTTGGGCTCCTGCACCCGCGTAGGAGACATGGAAAAAGCTCCTGGCTTCAGATGGGCGCAGCTCCAGCCATTGTGGCCGTTTGGGGGGTGAACCAACAGATGAAAGATCTTTCTCTGTCTCCCTCTCACTGTCTGTAACTCTACCTCTCAAATGAATAAATAAAATTAAAAAAAAAAAAACTTTCACTCCTCTCTGCACCATATACAAACAACAGTGGATAAGTTAAACGGGTAGCCTCTGTGCTCTCTGCTCCAGGTTCCTACCAAGTCCACATCTGTGATCTGGTCTTTAATCAGGTTCCAAACCGTGAGGTAGAGCTGTGCAGCATCATGCTGGACAAACACTACAAGAGAGAAGAGCAATAGCCCAGTTAGTGAGGGTTCTGGGGATCTTCTCATGCCTCTCTGCCCTAGCTACCCAGATGTACATGGACACTTCGTCCTGTCTCAGCTTTCCCCTCTCCCAAAAAAGCCTCCAATTGTATTACCTATTAGATGCTCCAGGAATGAAAAATTCAGCTTGGTATTGATTTTTGAGAACTCCTCTTAGAACTTAAGCTCAAGGGAGTAGGCATTGGGCACAGTCAAGATGCTCCTCAGAAGCCAGCCCCATGGCATAGCGGGTAAAGCCACTGCCTACAGTGCCTGCATCTCATGTGGGCACTGGTTTGAGTCCTGGCTGCTCCACTTCCAATCCAGCTCCCTGATAATGTGCCTGGGAAAGCAGCAGAGGATGGCCCAAGACCTTGGGCCCCTGCACCCATGTGGAAGACCTGGATGAAGCTCCCAGCTCCTGGCTTCGGCCTGGTCCAGCCCTGACCATTGCAGCCATTCAGGAGTGAACCAGCGAGTGGAAGATATTTTCTCTCTCTCTCTCTCTCTCTCTCTCTCTCTCTCTCTGCCTTTGCCTCTCCTCTATAACTCTGACTTTAAACTTAAAAATAAAATTAAAATATATTTTTAAAAAAGATGCTGCCTGGGACACCAGCACTCCATATCAGAATACCTAGGGTTCAAATCTCAGCTCTGCTCTCAATTCCAGCTTCCTGCTAATGCACACCCTGGGAGGCAGCAAGTGATGGCTCAAGGAGTTGAGTCCCTGCTACCCATGTGAGAGACCTGGATTATGTTCCAGGCTCCAGACTGCAGCTTGGCTCAGCTGCAGCTGTTGTATTCATTTAGGGAGCATTCTCTCTCTCTCTCTCTCTCTCTCTCTCTCTCTCTCTCCATTTCAACCAAACAAAATAAATATATTTAAAACAATTAAAAAAGGAAAAATTCCCTAAAGTATACAGACTATTAAGGGAGACTAAAAAGAAGGTGAGAATACAGCTGGAATGGTGGAATAGAGGCCTCCATAAATCTGCTCCTTCAGGAAAGAAAATGCTGGAAAAAAACATCATAAGGGCCACATGTGGCAAACCCCCAACCAACATCACACTGAATGGGGAAAGGCTTAAAGCTGGGATCTGGAACAAGTCAAGGATGCCCACTTTCACTACTATCATTCAACACAGTAGAAGTTCCAGGTCTCCTATGCAGGTGCAGGAGCCCACTACTCTTCCAGCTGCATTAGCAGGGAGCAGCCAGGACTCAAACCAGCACCCACATGGGATGCCAGTGTCACAGGCGTCAGCTTTACCTGCTATGCCACAACACCAGCCCCAGTAAATGGTATTATATCAAATTAAGTTTTTTCCATACAGCAAAGAAAACAATACAGTTAAAAGATAGCCTATGTAATGCGAAAATTTTTGCAAATATTCATCCAATAAGGGATTAATATCCAAACAATACAAAGAACTCAACTCAATAGCAATAAAAATAATAACCAGGTTTCTAAATGGGCAAGTGACCAAGAATAGACATTGCTCAAATGAATAAAAATTGCCAAGTAATTTTTTATAAAAAAATCTTGACAATACTAATATTCAGGAAAATATAAATAAAAACCACAAAGAGTGGCTTTAATCTCTCATCTGAGATAGATTGTTATAATCAAAAAGACAAAAAAAGAATAAATGCTGGCACACCACTGGCAGAAATGCAAATCAGGGTAGCCTCAGAAAACTCAGAAATAGAATTCCCATATGATCCAGAAATTCCACTATCGGGTATATAGTCAAAGGAAAGGAAACTGGTGTGTCAAAGAGTTAACTACATTCCCATGTTTGTTTCAGCACTATTCACAACAGCTAAGACACAAATGCAATCTAGGTGTCTAACAACAGACGAATGAACAAAGCAAATGAGGTATAGGGGTGGTGTTGTGGTGTTCTGGCAATTCCACTTCTGATCCAGCTCTCTGCTTATGGCCTGGGAAAGTAAGAGATGAACCAATTGTTTGGGCCCCTGCACCCATGTGGGAGACCTGGATGAGGCTCCTGGCTCCTGGCTTCAGCCCAGCCCAGCCCTCTATCTCTATCTCTCCCCCACCCCCACCTTCTCTCTCTCTTACTCTGATTTTCAAATCAATAAATATTTTTTAAAAAGAAAAGACAATGAGGTATATAATAAAAAATTATGAAATCCTATCTTTTGTCACAAAATGAAACTGGAGGACAATGATGTTAAGTAGAAGCCAGGCACAGATTCTGGGAGCTGAATTGGAAGTGAAGCATGAGACTTAAACCGGCACTCATATGGGATGCAGCTTAAGCCATGCCACAAAGCGGCCCCAATCTTTCTGCCTTTCAAAAACAAATAAAATGAAGTGGGCATTGCATTTAGTACAGTGGTTAGGATGCTGGTTGGGTTGCCCACATCCCACTTCAGAGTGCCAGGCTTTAAGTTCAGGCTGTGCTTCCAATCCATTTACCTACAAATGCACACCCTGACATGCAGCCATGATGGCTCAAGTAGTTGGGTCCCTATCACTCACATGAGATCTCTCTCTCTTTCTCTCTCTCTCTCTCTCTCCTTGACCCCCCTCTTCCTCTTCCCCCTCCCCCACCCCTCTCAAGCTTCAGTCCCCTCGAGATCCGTAGGTGGGAGCTGGACTAGAAGGATGATCTTACATGGCACATTGTACTTTTGGAGGCAGGAGACGAGCTCTATGGGTCTCACCGCCTTCTGCCGGCTGTCCTGCATCTTCTCCAGCAGCAAAAGCAACTGGAAAGGGACACTTCTCTTCTGCTCCTCCACTCCCCTCGGCACTGTTATCCTGCCAGATAAGAACAGCCAGGAGCCTCCTTAATAGCCACCATTCTCAGTGGGAGGTACACATTGGAATCATGTGGGAAACATTTTTGAATTTTCAGACTACTCCCCACAGAAACTAAATTCTGGGGGTGGGGCCCAATTAACAGAATTTTTAAGTTCCCCAAAAGATTTGAATGGGTAACCAATATTGAGAATCACCATGTTGGTGCATTGGTTGGTACATAGTCCCCTCTCAATAGGGGCATCAACAACACCATTGCCTTAACCCCCACTCCCAACCCTTCCCTATAATCACAGTAGAATGAAGGGCAGATACTCTGGGTTCTAGGTCCATATCCAGGCCAAGCACCAAAACGTCCAATGTAATGCACTCCAAATTGAAAGCAAAGATTGAGTTAGGCCCAGGAAGGACAACATAAAGGGTGCCAGTGTCTTTCAGCAATGATCCATTGTATTGTGGCCATCTCTCAATTGCCCGTGCCAACAGATGAGAAAAACAAGCAAACACAAGGCAAAAGAGAATGAGTGATTGTGTGCATGCATGGGGGTTGGGTCGGTGGTGGGGTTCTCCTGACATTTTCCCCAACACTGACGTAGTTCCCTTTTAATCAAATCAGTAGCTGTCAGTTCTGGACGCATTTTAAAATCACCCAAGGAGCCTTTTTAAAAGTATCAAAACAGTGGGCATTTAGCTTAGGGGTTGAGGTACCCATGTCCCACACTGGAGTGACTGGGATCAATTCCCAGCTCCAGGTCCTGAGTCTGGTTTCTGGCTAATGTAGACCCTGAAAAAGGGATGATGGCACAAGAGATTAGGTTCCTGCTGCCCACAAAAGAGACCTGGATTATGTTCCTGGCTCTCAGCTTTGGCCCAGCCCAGCCTTGGCCCTGGAGGGCATTTGGGGAGTGAACCAACTGATGGGAGTTCTCTTTCTCTCTCTCTCCTTCTCTCTCTCTCTTCCCCCATCTCCACTCTGCTCCCCTCCCCTTCCCTCACAAATAAATAATAAATAGTGTAAAAGTACAAATGCTTGGGTCCCACCCCAGATCAACTGAAACCACAGAACTGAGGATGGAACCAAGCACTTATGCATCTTTAAAATTTCCTATGAGCTTCTATATGCAGAAAAGTACCTTTTCTCTGGTAATTTTTGAAAGAAGATCTCTAAAACTCCAAGACATAGTGAATATTTAATATCATCAGTTTATAATGCTTTATAATTACTTTATGTTTATCAGTCTGAATAACAGACTCACCTCTTCAATATCTTGGTGAATTCCACATTCATGATGAATACCTGAATCAGGGAATTAAGGCTACAGGTCTGTCCAAGGTTGTATAAACCAACTAGGCCTATAAAGGGATGAGAAAAAAAATACAAGGACAAGGCATAAATAAAGATTTAACAAAAAACAAATTTTTTTTTCTAGTTGCACTAAGGACATGAAATTCTGTGAAGTGCTCTCACAGGCACAAAGACATCACTAAGAGCCTTACCAATAAATTAAAGAGGAAGTACCAAGCATGAAGCTTTGCAAAGTTAACTAACAGGAAAAATTTTAATGATCTATTACAAAAGATAGGTGTCACCAAAAAAGGTGTATTATTCATTGCCAATTCAATAGTACAAGCAATTGTTGGAAAAGAAATAAACAAAGGCAGACATTTGGCAAAGTAGTTTAGACACCACTTGGGACACCCATATTGGATACCATATCAAGTCCCAGCTCCACTCCTGATTCCAGCTTCCTGTTGATGTGCACCCTGGGAGGCTGCAGTGATGACTCAAGAAGTTGGGTCACTTCCACCCATGTAGGAGACCTGAATTGAGTTCCTAGCTCCTGATATTGGATTGGTCCACTTGCAGACACTTGGGGAATGAACCAGAGTGTGTTGTGTGTGTGTGTGTGTGTGTCTTTCCCCCTCTCTCTCTCCTTTCAAATAAATGAAAATAAATATATGTTTAAAGAAATAAACATTACAAAAAGCATATAACTGGGAGAATTATGTGTTCCCCCCATTCAAATTGGCCTCTACAGAGCTGACCCAGCTGAGCATCTATGTGGCTCAGAGATAAGAACACCTCTCCCAGCTAGTTTATGCTGCACTCCATGGAGAGTTCCCTGCCCACTCCCTACCACAGAAATGGAGGAAGATCCACCTAAGCTAAACCCACCTGAAAAGCTGAGAGCCATTAGGAGCTTACAAGGACATGAAAAATCCAAAACATAACATTTCTCTGACACTCTAGCAACTCACCTCCACTTTCCCAATCCAACTTAGGCTCAACGGATCCCACAGCTGAACAGTTTAAAAGCGAAGGAGAACCCAGAACTCAGAATTCCTTAGAAAAGAGCTTTGGTGTTTATGGAACAAGGCAATAAACATGTAAAAATCCAAGGGTAAGAAGTGATCACAGATTTCTGCTCCCTTTCAGCAGGGACAACGTGTTCATTCTGTCCCCCCCACCAACCCCAATTGCCTGCAATGGCTAGAGCTAGGTAAGGTCAAAGCTGGGAGCTGTAAATGCAATCCAAGTCTCCCACATGGGTAGCAGGGACCCAGTTACTTAAGCCCTGATTCCTCCCAGGGTCTGCAGTGCCAGGAAACTGGAACAGAGCTAGGACTCAAACCCAGGCACTCTGATGTAGGACACAGGCATCTTAACCTCTAGGCCAAACACCTGCCCCAGACTTAATTCCATTTACTTTTCCTAACAATCCTTGTGCTCAGTACTGTTAACACCCCCATTTTACAGATATATAAAAGGAGGCAGAGGAGATCATTATGGCCTACAGCTGTAGAGTACAGTGAGTGAGCAAAACATTCCTATAAAGCCAAAAAGGGAAAAATGACAGGGTTGTAATGACCGTGACGGTAGTCCCAGGGACCACGACGTTCTCTCAGCTTCTCTCTCTTCCTCTTCATGTTGTTCTCCTCCTCCTTCTCAACAGACTGTGCTGGAAACTGTAGAGACTCAGCCAGGACTGACCGGCAGGTTCTCGTCAGGAGCCCAAACACTTTGCCCATTAGGGATCACTCCAAAACTCCCAGGCTGAGGCTGCCTTGCTGGTGTTCAGAACCACATGACTCCACTTTCAGAAGAGCTATCATGAGCAGGGCACATTGAAAGCTCTGTGAAAACACATGGCAGGTGAGTAAGGGGAAGGGAAGGGAGAAAGTGTATTTGTGTCATCGGTTCTGATTTCCAAGAGCCATGTCCTAGAAGGAGACAGTGGAAGCAAGAGCAAGGCAAAGGCAATAGCAGAGATGTTCCAGGAATGCTTAGTGCAGCACTGTACTCAGAGCGGGCCAGGACACTGGTAAACAAAGGAAAGAGTCAGGAAACCAGTCCGAATTACAGTTTGAAGCCTGCAGTGTAGGAAGCGGATTGTTCTTTGAACCGGAAGGGTCCCCTTGCCCACTTTTGCGCATCCTGGATGTACGTTGCAAGCAGCAATCACCATACCACCTCCAGTCTTCTACACCCTGGACACCCGCCCACCCAAACCCTTGCCCTGGCAAATTGCTTCTCAGGGAGGCAGTTTCCTCCTGGAACAATACTTTCCCCATCTGTTTACTCATCGTGAGTAAACACAGCCTTCCTTAGAGCAACTCCCCACTGGAGCTGATCCTTTGGGATGACACCCCAAGTAGACAGACCCCTCATGTCCACTACCAACACACATTCAGGAAGATGGATCCTAAAGCTCCAGGGCCTGGGGACAGCAGCAAGGCCAGATGTCCCCTACTCTTGGCCACACACATTTCTGTCGTTCTTAGAGGCACTACCAACTCTCACCACAGAATTCCTCTTCTCCCTAGATTCTCTACTCTGGTAATTGGCATAACATTCACCAAGGGGTCCAGCTGGAAACATGGTGTCTCCTTGCTCTCTGCTCTCATCCCCAGGCACCTATGGCAAACAACTCCACTGTTGAAAGGCCGCTCACAAGCAAACTCCCTGGTGCCCGCCTTCGACTTCCCTGGATACTCCCACAGCCACTCAAGTCCCCATAAGATGTTTCCACATCTCGAAAACATGTCCCAAATCCTCGGGAAGGCCCATACAGATTGTACACAGAACTATTCAAGTCACTGGCTTACTCTGATATGAATATTTGTTTCTCCATTTGCCAGTGTGTGGTTTGCCACTCAGATGCACCTCTCAGCACAGACACCGACTCCCCAGGTTGAGAGGGGTGTTGGTGGCTGATAGCAGCCATGTCCCTCTGTACAAACCAAAGGTCTGGGGACACAGCAAAGTCGCAGCTATGAAAGAAGCCATGTAAACCTAAAGTACTCAAATTCTGGTCCTTTACTTCCTCCTGACAACACAGACCTCAGCCAATGGTCTGCTCTCCCCAAGCATGCCATGGAATCCCAGGAGGGGTCTCATCTGTGTTTGGAACAAAGCTCACATGCTACACTACCACTTACCTCCCTAAACTGTCCTCTAGGAAGCTATGGGGCATGGTCAGACACAGCAGTCAGTATGCAGAGGCGCCCCCATCTCTTCAAGTGGGAGCTCAAGGAGACACATCTGAACAATATAGAAACAAGACTCACAAAATCAAGCCCCTCTCAACCCAACATGTGTCCATCTCCCACTCCAAACCAAGCAGGAGCAAGGAGCATCCAGACTCTAATGATAAAAGACTCCCTCTTACTCCATTAAGGCCTTCCCCAGCCTGCACACATACCCAGAAAAGCCCAATACAACCAAGATAATGACCTTCCTGCAAAGGCAACAGTAAGTAACACAGCCAATTGGAGCTTGTCATGTGCAAAAGAGACAACTGAGCCTGCACAGAATACAGAGCCAGGTGCAAGCTGCAGTGCTGAGGAGGACAAATCAGAGACAGAGAGGGCCTGGCCACAGCTTCCCCATCCAATAAAACACCTGTTCAGCTCCCTCACAGAGCCAGTCAGTAGAACCTCTTCTTGCTATGCTATCTGTCTTGTGTTCAAGCATAAGCCCCCAATAAACTGCATCTGAGCTGAACACCAGCACCTTGTCAATTTCTATTTGCAAGTGAGCCAAAGAACTCTGGATCAGTATCACATCAGGTCTTCCCACCACCTCATGTCTTCTGATTTCACCGAGTTCCTTCTTGAAAGGACTTCAACTTCTTCCTGAAGCTTCTACCTTCCCCAGTGCCTTGAGGCCTGCCCACAGATATAACTAGGGAGCACAAACCATGCTGTAGTCTCTTTGCTTCCCTTCTCTTGGCCCAGAGGCATGTACACAGGATTTCCTCAATGGTTCCCCTTTCTCCCTGCCAACAGTCCAGTGGTCCTATAGCCTACCTAGCGATTAGGCACTAAACAGTTTTGATTAAACTAGGACTCTCTTATGATCTTTGGGAGAGATTCTTAGAGGGAAATTGCCAGGGCCAGCGCTGTGGCTCAGTGGGTTAAGCCCCAGTCTGCAGTGCTGGCATCCCATATGGGTGCCGGTTCATGTCTCGGCTGCTCTTCTTCCAATCCAGCTCTCTGCTATGGCCTGGGAAGGCAGTAGAAGATGGCCCAAGTCCTTGGGCCCCTGCACCTGTGTGGGAGACCTGAAAGAAGCTCCTGGCTCCTGACTTCAGATCAGCTCAGCTCTGACCATTGTGGTCATTTGGGAAGTGAACCAGCAGAATGGAAGACCTCTCTCTCTCTCTCCCTCTCTATGTAAAAATTAAATAATTTTGGAAGGAAGGAAGGAAGGAAGGAAGGAAGGAAGGAAGGAAGGAAGGAAGGAAGGAAGGAAGGAAGGGGAGGGAGGGAGGAAAGGAAGGAATGAAGAGAGGGCGGGAGGGAGGGAGGGAGGAAGCTGTTTTGCCTTAGCCATTTACAAGGATCTGGATTGGAAGTGGAGCAGCTGGATGGGAACTGGCACCCATATTGGATGCTGGTGTTGCAGGAGGTGGCTTTACCCCACTACTCCACAACACTGACCTCGAAGACAATTTTTTCAAATGAAGCATGAAATTTCCAAAGCATGGTTTCAACATCATTAGTGAACCAAGATCTGCTCCCCAGCTCCAGATGTGGTTTTAGTCTTTAAAAGGCAAAATAGTCCATGTCATTTCTGATGACTAGGCACTTGATGCTGACCAAGTGATCACTTGTGTTAGCACCATATCTAAGCAACAGGACAAGGTCATTTGGATTAACCTTAATATCTGAATATCCAGTTGCAAACATTCTAAACATAACTTTGAGGTGAATTCTCATATATTTCAGATTTTGAGGTATAAAAGCACAGTTTCTGGGCAAAAGTAAGAATTGAAACAATGAACGAGGTTTGGATCATTTTGCATATAAAACTATTATTTTAAAGAAAATAAATTTTAAAAGAAAATAAATTAAACATTGACACATATATTAATAGTTTGTGAAAAATATTATATCCTTTGGGGGTTAACAACTATTTATTAAGCTTAAGAAATAATTCAAGGGACCCACACTGTGGTATAGCAGGTAAAGCTGCCGCCCACAATGCTGGCAGCCCTTATCAGCACCAGTTCGAGTCCCAGCTGCCCCATTTCTGATCCAGCTCTCTGCTACGGCCTGGGAAAGCAGCGGAGGATGACCCAAGTCCTTGGGCCCCTGCACCCACATGGTAGACCCGGAAGAAGCTCCTGGCTCCTAGCTTCGGATAGGCTCAGCTCCGGCCATTGCAGCATTGCAGCCATTTGAAGAGTGAACCAGCAGATGGAAGACCTCTCACTCTCTCTCTCTTTCTCTCTCTCTCTCTCTCTCTCTCTGTCTATGCCTCTCTGTAACTCTGCCTTTCAAATAAATAAATAAATCTTTAAAAGAAAAAAATAAATAGTCCCAGGAAGAAGAGTCCAGATTCAATCAAGTCACTGCTCTTTGTAATGTAACTCAGTGTAAGGCTAAAAACTGTTGTCCCATGACCGCTTTAGATTGTCATTAAATTAAATAGTTCAGGAGAGGAGTCTCAGATCTGATAGTTGTTCAAACTACAAATGCTGGGGAACAACATGACTTCTGGAAAATAGGTACCTAAAGATAATATTCCTGAATTACATTCTGCCATGCACAAAATATACTGAGAGTTTTAAATGTCCTGGCCGGCGCCACAGCTCGATAGGCTAATCCTCTGCCTAGCGGTGCCGGCACACCGGGTTCTAGTCCTGGTCGGGGCTCCGGATTCTGTCCCGGTTGCCCCTCTTCCAGGCCAGCTCTCTGCTGTGGCCAGGGAGTGCAGTGGAGGATGGCCCAAGTCCTTGGGCCCTGCACCCCACAGGAGACCAGGAGAAGCACCTGGCTCCTGGCTTCGGATCAGCGTGGTGCGCTAGCCGCAGCGCGCCGGCCGCGGCGGCCATTGGAGGGTGAACCAACGGCAAAGGAAGACCTTTCTCTCTGTCTCTCTCTCTCTCTCTCACTGTCCACTCTGCCTGTAAAAAAATAAAATTAAATAAAATTAAATGTCCTACTTCCACATCATGTGCATCAGGCATCTGAATAGGCAGAAAAAGCCAGAGTTCATTTTATACCTAATAGCATGAACTGATGATGAATTTAGCAAGGATTCAATGCTGCAAAACTTGAAGAAGAAAGATTTGTAGCCTGGAAATCCAGTTTTTAAAATGTTAAAGTTGGGGCCGACGCTGTGGCGCAGCGGATTAAAGCCTTGGCCTGAAGCGCTGGCATGCCATATGGGCGCCGGTTCTAGTCCTAGCTGCTCCTCTTCCAATCCAGCTCTCTGCTATAGCCTGGGATAGCAGTAGAAGATGGCCCAAGCCCTTGGGCCCCTGCTCCTGCATGGGAAACCCAGAACAAGCTCCTGGCTCCTGGCTTCAGATCGAGCAGCTCCGGCCATTGTGGCCGTCTGGGGAGTGAACCAGCGGATGGAAGACCTCTCTCTCTTTTCTACCTCTCTCTATAACTCTGTCTTTCAAATAAATAAAATAAATCTTTTTTCAAAAAAAGTTAAAGTCATACAATTGTCATCAACAATGGAACAAACAAGATGAAGGCTAAGAATGGTTTAAGAACCCGTGTTTATTACAGCTCAATTTATAATATATAGAATCAACCTAGATGTTCATCAGCTGATCATTGGATAAAGAAATTGTGGTGTATATACACATGATGTAATACTACTCAGCCAAAAAAGG